CCACTTTATCGTACTCACTGCTTTGAATTACTAAATTCACATTTTTTCATGCTTCTGCAGAAAAGCTAAGTTAGGTACTGACTCGCTTGTGCTGAAACTTATGAGAGCAAGATTCGGCTCAAGAACATCGAATTCTAGGTAACGCGATTCCTACGCATGAAGTTTCGAACAATGGAACGTCTACAGCAACGAGTTGAACGAGAAGAACGTCGTCAGGACCAGCAGAGCGGCGGCTTGCTGATCATGGACCTCGATGGACTTTCATTTAGCACTACCCTTCTGTCAGTTTTAGCAGGTGAGAACGTTCATGTTCTTGACAATTTTTTTTTCTAACGGACCCAGATGATGTCGACATCGGGTGTCTAATGGTTTTTAGGAACTCATTAGAAACGATGGCTGGCAGACGGTTCCAGTCAAATGAAGTCATTTATTGCTTTACACGTATAGAAGCGTGTTTATAAGAGAACCGCCGAAGAGAAGTTTCGGGAACCTTTCACCATCCCCACTGTGAAATCCTTCTTGCGTGCCCTCTTTAAAAAATCTGTAAAATAATGAAAATTCCGTTCAAGATTTTTCCCCAACCTAACAGATGTACCGCCATGGAAGAGTATTTCACAAAGGATAACGACCCAGCTACCCTACAGTAGCAACTGCCCTCAGATCCTGGCTCAATCGATTAGTTGTGGGTTAGATGCGCTTGACGTTACAGTATACACCAATGGGGGTCAAAAACCAGATCATTTCACATCTTATCCAAAAATCCACCACTTTTCAGGGCCGTATCGAATACTATGGGGAACGCTGTTCGAGCAATATCCACAGCTTATACAGCAGATTATCATCATCAACGCACCGAAATTCGTCAATCTCCTATATCAGACATGCATTCCATTCATACCTAATGATTATCGGGTACGAGTTTGTCTATCAAATTGATTTGGAAACTTGCATCCATGAATATTTCGGGAAAGAATTCAAAAATGACGAGAGAAGATGAGAGATATATACCATCCCGTCCACCACAAGAGCTAGCAGTGCACTGTGTTTAATCCGTCCCTTTGGAGGCATGAAAGCT